CGGAGAACGAGCTCAGCCTGTCGAAGCGGCTGCGGAGCGAGAGCCCCGAGTCGAGCAACGGGTCGGAGCACAGCGAGCTCGCGCTGGCCGACGGCTTCGCCGTGCACGTGCCCCTCGCGCCCCTGACGCGCCACCGGAACCTATTACCGAGCGCCATCGACGCGCGGCTCGCGGCGCAGTACGGCACCGCGCCGCGCATGCTCATCGCGGACGACTCCTACACGGTGCGCCGCTTCATGCAGCGCACCTTCGAGCAGCGGGGCTACGCCGTCGACGTCGCCCAGAACGGCTGGCAGGCCTTCGCGCAGATGCAGACGCGGCTCTACGACTTTGTGTTTCTGGACATCGAGATGCCGGTCATGAACGGCTACCGGTGCGCGCAGGCGCTGCGCCAGTGGGAGGCGCGCGTCCAGCGCGAGGAGCGCCAGTTCATCTGCGCCTTGACGAGCCACTCCAAGCCCGCGGAGCGCGAGCTCGGCATCGGCATCGGCATGAATTTGTTCGAATCGAAGCCCGCGCGGCCGAAAAGGCTCCTCGACATCGTCGAGCAGGCGCTCAACGCGGCGAACGGCGACGCGACGGCGGCGGCGGCCATCGCCGCCGCGGCGACGGCCGTGGCCTGCGGCCCGACGGGCGCGGGCGTCCTCGACCTCGACGGCGAGCCCATCGCCGCGCCCGCGGCGCGCGCGGCGCCCGAGGAGCCGCCGCCGGCCTTCGACCTCGAGGCCCACGGCCTGGGCGCCGACGACAAGGCCTGCCTCGCCCTCTGCACGTCCCACGGCCTCGTCTGGATCGACGTCAAGGTCACGGCCGACGCGGCGGGCGGCGCGTTCGACGTCGAGGCGACGGACGGTTCCGGAATATGCGCGCGCGGCGTGCCCCGGCGCCGCCTCAAGCTCCCGGACCAGACGCCGCCCAAGTTCCTCGAGCCGGGGGCCCACGTCGACGCCATCGTCGGCGGCGCGTTCAAGGCCGCCGTCGTCGAGAAGCGCCTCCCGGAGAACGCGTACGACCTGACGGTCGACGGCGGCGCCGCGCTCGCCGCCGTGCCCCGGGACCAGATCCTCGCGACGCACGAGTAGGCGCGCGCCCCTTGTATACACGCGCGGCTTCGCGATTCGGGAGACAGGCGCGTCAACTCGGCCGTCGCGCTTCGAGCCGCGTTCGCAGGTCGTCCGGGAGCCGGTGCCGCCGGTCCTCGGCCCAGTGCCGCTGCCCCGACGCGCAGGCCGACGCCCCGAGCGCCGCGAGCTTCGGGTTCCGGAGCGCGACGCCGCCGCGGCCGTTCGTCATCGCGACGTACTTGCGCGCGAGCGAGAACGTGTCCCGGTTCTCGTCCCAGGGGCACAGGTCCCCGCACGCGTCCGCGCCCAGCAGCAGCACGCCGTCCTCGACCGTCGACGCGCCGTGGAGCCGCTGCGCCGAAACACCCGACGGGGCCCCGCGGTCGAGCGCCTCGGCCAGCGCGAGCTGGTCGCGGTCGCCGGACGCCGCGTAGACCGCGCGCCACGCACAAGACACGCGCCGCGCCGCCGGGTCGCGCTCGTCGCGCGCGACGAAGCCGCCCTCCGCGAAATCGTCGAGGCGGCCGGGCCCGAGGGCGTCGAGGCGCGCGACCTGCGCCGCCAGTTTTTCCGGCTCGGCCGTCTTCCGCAGCTCGATGACGCGGCGCGCCTCGGCTTTCCACCACTTCTCGCCCGGCCGCCGCCGGTCGCAGGGGTCGGCGCCCGCCCGCGCGGGCGTCGTGCAGGGGTGGCGGAACGCGGCGAAGCCCGCGCCGAAGCGCAGCACCGTCTGCTCCACGAGCCAGCGCGGCGGCCGCCGCAGCTGCAGCTTCCAGTCCACAAAGACCGTGAAGCGCGCGCGCGGGAAGAAGAGGCGCGGCGCCAACTTCACGAGCCGCGACGCGCGCCGCCGGCCCCCGTCGCCGTGCTGCTCGTGGACGACGAGTGTCCAGGCGCCCAGGTCGCAGTGCCGCGCGAGCGCCGCCGCCGCGCGGCCGCCGGCGACGAGCACCGCGCACGTGCCGTTGGTGTCGAACGCGAGGCGCGCCGCCGGGTTCTCGAGCAGCGCGCCGTCGGGGTAGTAGAGTGTCGTGAAGAGCACGGTCTCGCAGCCCTCCGCGGCGGCGGCCGTGCGCTCCGCGAGCGCGACCTCGTCGGGCGCGGCGAGCGCGCAGTCGTCGCCGGCCGTGCGATGCAGGAGCAGGCCCGCCAGCACGAGAAACAGCATCAGCGCATGCTTAGCGTGCGGGGGTGGTCAGCGCATGCTCTGCGTGCGTCGATGGAGCACGTCCTCACGTCGACGGCAACGCAATCGAGGCTAGCCTGGTCATAGGGCAGCCTTGCCATCGGCTCGAAGGCCTTAAGGTGGTAATAAAAGT